ATAATGCAAATACTTCTAGGACACTCTGTAATTCTGGTGATTTATCTGGTAGTAAACCCTGTATTTCTGGTGATTTATCTTGGAAACCCTGTATTTCTGGTGATTTATCTTGGAAACCCTGTATTTCTAGTGATTAATCTAGGAAACCCTATATTTCTTTAGATTAATCTTGGAAACCCTGTATTTCTGGTTTTTTATCTAGTAGTTCACCCTGTACTTCTGGTGATTTATCTTGTGGGACACCCTGTATTTCTGGTGATTTTATCTGTAAGTACACCCTGTATTTCTTGAGACTTATATTGGAAACCCCGTAGTCCTGTTCAGTAATCTGGGACACGGTATAGTTCTGGTAAGTAATTTGGGACACCCTTATAGTTCTGGGAAGTAACCTGGGAGTGGGACACTCAATAGTAACTAAGACACCCTGTAGTTCTAGTGTTTAATCTGGGACACCCTAATTATATTGAGAAATTAATCTGAGACACACACTGCACAGTACTATACTGACACATCCTGTAGTTCTGGTGTTTAATCTTGGACACCCTGTATAGTACTACTGATAAACCCTCTGTTTAATCTGGGACACTTTTTATTTTTGGAGATTAATCTAAGACACCCTGTATACTGCAAAGTCCTGGTAAGTATATGAGGAAGCTGGCCGGCCCAGCTACAGTTCAGGGTTTCCGCCTTTCCTTCTCCTTCTCTAGTCTCCAGCACTAGTTTATATACAGGAGCAGGAGGAGATACAACCTCAACATATAACAGGATAAAATATTCACACATGTACACTGTACACTGTACATAACTGCCTAGATAGTAGATTAATCTTAGTACATAACCTAGTATACTGAGTATACAGTGATAGGGCTTGTTTTTAATTTTACAATGAAATGAAAGTTGCTAAAATTACAAGGTTTTCTCCTGTTTCCTAATTACTGTGTTTTCCCCATGCTGACCATACAACTGATTACTAGCTTAACTAACTTTCTAACAGACTATTCTTTTAGCTAACTTCAATTAGAGCTGACTAGGTGACTCTAGTCTTTTAACTAACTTCAATTAGATCTGACTAGGTGACTAACTAGTCTTTTAGCTAACTTCGATTATATCTGACTTAGTGACTAACTAGTCTTTTAGCTAACTTTAATTTAAGGTGACTCGGTGACTAACTAGTCTTTTAGCTAACTTTAATTAATGGTGACTTGGTGACTATCTAGTCTTTTAGCTAACTTTAATTTAAGGTGACTCGGTGACTAACTAATCTTTTAGCTAACTTCAATTAGATCTGACAAGGTTACTAACTAGTTGTTTAGCTGACTTCAATGTGAGTTGACTGGTTACTATCCATTCTTTTAGTTAACTTTAATTTGAGTTTACTTGGTGACTAACCATTCTTTTAGTTAACTTCAATTAGAGCTTACTTGGTGATTAACTAATCTTTTAGCTAACTTCAATTAGAGCTTACTTGGTGACTAACCATTCTTTTAGTTAACTTCAATTAGAGCTTACTTGGTGACTAACAATTCTTTTAGTTAACTTCAATTAGAGCTTACTTGGTGACCAACAATTCTTTCAGTTACCTTAAATTAGAGCTTACTTGGTGACTAACCATTCTTTTAGTTACCTTAAATTAGAGGTTACTTGGTGACTAACCATTCTTTTAGTTACCTTCAATTAGAGCTTACTTGGTGACTAACTTTTCTTTTAGTTACCTTAAATTAGAGGTTACTTGGTGACTAACCATTATTTTAGCTAACTTCAATTAGTGTTTACATGATGGCTTTCTATTCTTTTAGCTAACTTCAATTGGATACTTGGTGACTAACCATTCTTTTAGTCGACTTTAATTTCAGCTTGCATGGTGACTAACTATTCTTTTAGTTAACTTCAATTTGAGGTTACTTGGTGACTAACTAATCTTTTAGCTAACTTTAATTATATCTGGCAAGGTTACTAACTAGTTGTTTAGCTAACTTCAATGTGAGTTGACTGGTTACTTATCATTCTTTTAGTTAACTTCAATGTGAGTTGACTGGTTACTTACCATTCTTTTAGTTAACTTCAATTTGAGCTTACTTGGTGACTAACTAATCTTTTAGCTAACTTTAATTAGAGCTTACTATGATGACTAACTATTCTTTTAGTTAACTTCAATTAGAGCTTACATGGTGACTTACTATTCTTTTAGCAAACTTCAATTAGAGTTGACTTAGTGACTAACTAGTTTTTAGCTAACTTTAAATAGATTTGACTATTATGGCTATTCTTTTAGCTTCAATTAGAGCTGATTTTTAGTGACAATGGATCTAGCTAGTTTTTTAGATAAATTAAAAAGATCTGACGATAATGAAAATTAGCTAACAACACTTATTGTTTAAGAATTTAATTTAATTTCTATTAATCAAATTAATTATTTTTTCAAAGTTTCGAATTTTTATTATAAAAGACATTTTTTAAAGAACAGAAAAAAAGGCTTAAAAAATGCAAAATATTTACAGAAGTCTGCTACTTGAATGCTTTAAAGCCGCCCATTGAAAAACCAAAATTCATAGGTCTGACTTGCCAAAAGTCAGCTGATTTGCTGGGTTAGTGCAAGCAAAAAAAAAATTCAAACGAGTGTAAAAGTTGCATATTTTGTGTGCAGTTTCACAAAAGAAAAATAATTCTAAATATGCATAAATATGCATATTTAGAATAGCACAAAGTTCTTATGAAAACATTTTAAAATCAATCAAAACTAGCATAACATTTTTATTTACTAAGTCACTTGTAACGCTGGGAAGACAACATTTTGAAAATCCCATTAGATTAGAATCAGATTTAAAATAAACAAACTATGACCTTACAAGTCTTATTTTAGCCCAGGTACACTTTTTTTTTAAAAGTATATATTCGTATTCTGTGATTTTCATTCTTTGGAATGATTTTAATATTTTTTAAAAATATTGTAGAAAGCAGCATTTCTGCACGATTGCAGAGTTCCTGTTAAAAATTGCAAAATATCAAACGTAAAAAGCATTGTCCGACTTTCACTTTCTTGCAAATATATTGAATAATTAGTGTAGCAGCTGAGTAGCAGAGTAGGTCAAATAGTTCACCTTAATTCAGCTTACCTTGAAGGCGCAGAAAGAAACAAAAACCTTGTCAAGTTCTGAGATTCAAGATTGACATCTTTTCAACACTTTCTTTCCCACCTTATTCAAGGCCTTAGATTCAGGGTTACCCACAAAGGATGAGACATAAGAGACGACTGTACAGATTTTATCATAGCACTTTTTTACTACATTTATGGTTCCCTGCCGCCCTAAACATTTAATGCACAATATAAAGACGATATATAAGACAAAATCCCAGGTTTAACCCTCAGAACGCTATGTTAAAGAAAGGTCGTCATGCTTTGTGTGTAACCCTGCATGCAAACCAAACTAAGGGTCTTGAAAAGTGTTTAATGCTTACAATTCCTCCATCGTTTCTTCAGCAGAGATCTCCAAATCACTGTTATTGGTAAAATAATTAGTTCTCAAAAAGAAAAATACGGATATCTAATTTGTTCTTGAATCTTGATCAGACAAAGCTTTCAATGGTTTCTTTGTTTATTGCAAATCTACAAATTATACTTATTTCCTTTAGGGTTGTTTCTTCCATAAGACAACAATTTTATCTAATATCTGCAGTCTAGAAACAAAAGCATCAAGTTTCATTTTCCAATCTTGTCAGAGGTTTAATGTTATTTTGTTAAATGCTTTTAAATTTTATACGCCAAATTGTTTAAGCTACTTTTGGTTTTTGTAACTTTTGGTAAATATAACCCAAAAAATCATTTTGCCTTACTCTATTCAGTGTCCCAAATCTTACTCTATTCAGTGCCTCAAATCTTACTCTATTCAGTGTCCCAAATCTTACTCTATTCAGTGGCTAAAATCTTACTCTATTCAGTGTCTCAAATCTTACTCTATTCAGTGCCTCAAATCTTACTCTATTCAGTGGCTAAAATCTTACTCTATTCAGTGTCTCAAATCTTACTCTATTCAGTGGCTAAAATCTTACTCTATTCAGTGCCTAAAATCTTACTCTATTCAGTGTCTCAAATCTTACTCTATTCAGTGCCTAAAATCTTACTCTATTCAGTGGCTAAAATCTTACTCTATTCAGTGGCTAAAATCTTACTCTATTCAGTGGCTAAAATCTTACTCTATTCAATGCCTCAAATCTTACTCTATTCAGTGCCTCAAATCTTACTCTATTTAGTGGCTAAAATCTTACTCTATTCAGTGCCTCAAATTTTACTCTATTCAGTGGCTAAAATCTTACTCTATTCAGTGCCTCAAATTTTACTCTATTCAGTGCCTCAAATCTTAGTCTATTCAGTGCCTCAAATTATACTCTATTCAGTGCCTCAAATCTTACTCTATTCAGTGCCTCAAATCTTACTCTACTCAGTGCCTCAAATCTTACTCTATTCAGTGCCTCAAATCTTACTCTATTTAGTGTCTCAAATCTTACTATAATTTCAGTGCCTCAAATCTTACTCTATTCAGTGCCTCAAATCTTACTCTATTCAGTGCCTCAAATCTTACTCTATTCAGTGCCTCAAATCTTACTCTATTCAGTGCCTCAAATCTTGTTTTCGTTTTTTTTTACCCTTAAAAAACTAAAATTGTTTGTTAAGAATTGACAATGTTAAAAAAGTTTCAAAATTAAGAATTTAAAATTTTTAAAAAAAATACAATGGTACCAATGGTCCATTTCTTTCGGCCAAGTTTTTTTATTAGANGCATCTCTATATGTCAAGATCTCTAAGGAGGGTAGGTAACGGCCAATTAATGTAATCCTTTAATCTTGTTTCGACATTTTAGTATATTCAACAAACATCCTTTGTTATACAACAATAGAAATCTTTTATTTAGTCTCACAGAGGAAACAAATTGCAAAAAATCAAAAAAAAAATCTTTCAAAACTTTTATAAATTCTGTCTTATTTTCAAAAACAAGGGCGTTTCACACCTTACTATTTAAAGTAAAAAAATAAAAAATGATGTGTTAAAATATGAAGAATATTGAATTACAGAAAACTTGTTCAGTTTACACAGTGAGTGATATTCAGGTTATTTTAGAAATGTTATTTTAAGATTTGTAATCACGGATGAGGAGTTAAGGACGTCATTGATCTCAAAAATAACCTTGGGATTACCCAAAGGATGGAGGGGGGTTTATATTTTTCTAGAAAACAATATTTCCAAAATCTTTAATAATGTGAAAATTAAATTTATTTTGATAAACATTAATGAAAATAAGTTTGAAGCAAACTCTGAATATCTTAATTGATACTAAAAATAAAGAACACCATCATTTAAAAAAAAAATGAAGAATTCTTACAAGAAAAATATGATTTCTGCATAAATTAAGTGACACAAAAAAATTATTTTAAATTTTTAAACTGTCTTGTTTTCAGATAAATTATATGCACCACCTCCCGGCTAGAACACCATGGGAGAACAACTTTGCACAAATTGGTAAAAAAATGCATTTTAAATTTCATTTAAATCAAAAATAACAAACAGCAAAGCAAGTGATTGCTTGCACCAAATTTTGTAATCTCATATATTTCCGCAACCTGATGGGGTAAATGTCAAACTTTGACTATTTGATCCACATCATTAGGTCATACACAATGCACAAACTGAAGGAATAGCAAATTAGAGTTTAAGGAAAATATGTACTTCCTTTCTAGTAAATAATTGTTTAAAATAAGCCTAGCTACCATTAGAGCTGTCCTGTACTCAGGACCAATAGAATTGCAACGGCGACCAGGTCTATCTATCTATATATCTATTCAAATCTTATAATCCAATAAGAGATCCATATGTAAATTAGCGGCAACGACTAAATGGAATTCTTTGCTTTTATCGAAACTAAGGTACTTACCGCCCTTACTTCTTGATATAAATGTAGTACTGACCAAACTCTGCAGGTTCAGGTTGACCGTCTCCCACGGAATCAATTCTCTTACCCGACATTGTTGGCATTCANTGAGCCGTGTGAAATGACCTTCAAACGAGCCATTATGCGGGAATTGGAGCAGGGCTCGGAATATGAATCGCGGGGCTCAGATACCATTCTGATAATTCTTGGGCTTTGAGGTCATTTTGCAGGGGCTCATGGTGACCTATCCCTCCCTCATTGATAAAGGAGAGTGGCTTCAGCATCCTAGGACTGCGTAAACGGCTCGAATCAGCCTTGAAGTGTCGTCTAGAGAAAAACAGTGTAACTAGGTGGGGGGGGCAATGTTTCTAAACTTCATTAATCAAGTTTCTTTACGTCATCATATATCTATCTAGGAAGGCTAGAGAGTAAAAGATTAAATACATAGTGTTTACAACTGGTTTAGTTTAGAAAATCCATCCTATTCCTATTTCTGAAAACTGATGAGATTTCTAGATCTCTAAAAAGATCTCAAAGATCTCTAAGATCTCAAGATCTCGAAGTGTCTAAGATCTCTAAGTGTTTAAGATTTCGAAGTGCCTAAAATTTCTAAGATTTCCAAGTGTCTAAGATCTCTAAGATCTCTAAGTGTACAAGATCTCTAGCATATCTAAGTGTACAAGATCTCTAAGATCTCTAAGAATCTAAGATCTCTAAGTGTTTAAGATCTCTAAGTGCCTAAGATCTCTTAGATCTCTAAGTGTCTAAAATCTCTAAGATCTCTAAGGTCTCTAAGTGTACAAGATCTCTAACATATCTAAGTGTCAAGATCTTAAAGATCTCTAAGTGTACAAGATCTCTAAAATCTCTTTAAGATCTCTAAATGTAAAGGTCTCTAAGAGATCTAAGTGTACAAAATCTCTAAGATCTTGTGCAAATTCATGTACAAAATCTCTAAGATCTCCAAGTATATGAAATCTCTAAGATCTTTAAGATCTCTAAGTGTTTAAGATCTCTAAGATCTTTAAGTGTCTATAATCTCTAAGATCTCTAAGTGTACAAGATCTCTAGCATCTCTATATGTCAAGATCTCTAAGTGTACAAAATCTCTAAGATTTCCAAGTGTACAAGATCTCTAAGACCTCTAAGATCACTAAGACCTCTAAGATCACTAAGACCTCTAAGATCTCTAAGTGTCTAAGATCTTTAAGATCTCTAAGTGTACAAGATCTCTAAGTTCTTTAAGTGTACAAGATATTCTAAGATCTTTAAGTGTACACGATCTCTAAGATCCCCAAGTGTACAAAATCTCTAAGATCTCCAAGTATAAAAAATCTCAAAGATCTTTAAGATCTCTAAGTGCCTAAGATCTCTAAGATCTCTAAGTGTACACTGTCGCTAAGATCTACAAGAATACAAGATCTCTAACATCTCTAAGTGTACAAGATCTCTAAGGGTACACTATCGCTAAGATCTACAAGAATACAAGATCTCTAACATCTCTAAGATCACTAAGTGTCTAAGATCTCTAAGTGTTTAAGATCTCTAAGTTTTCACGATCGCTAAGATCTATAAGAATACAAGAACTCTACGATCTCTAAGTGTACAAGATCTCTAACATCTCTAAGTGTACAAGATCTTTAAGATCTCTAAGTGTACAAGATCTCTATGGAACGGGTTAAGTTCCAGTACCTCCAGGATTAGAAACGTCTTTAAATCCAGAGTTCTCTGAGACCTCTTTAAATCCAGAGTTCTCTGAGACCTCTTTAAATCCAGAGTTCTCTGAGACCTCTTTAAATCCTAAAACTTCTAATATATTTGTAAAGCTTTAAAATCCTCTAAAGTTGAATCACCCATTGAAAGCTTCATCAACAGGAAGAATTTGAATCGGTAATTCAAAATTGAACCGGTGGTAGCCGGTAGGTAGTTTAGTGACCCCTGTTATTCATTAAATTAGGATACAGGATACAAGATGCAGAATATAAGAGACACAGAATATAGGATGCAGAAAGATAGTATAAGTATCTGGGTAGGAATATAGCTCTGTGCTCTGAGTGTAATGAACCAATACCTCGGCAGGATCTAGAGAAACACAGGTATTCAAACCAGAAACAAGTTAAACTAAACAAAAGGAATTCAGTCTTTGCCACAAACTCTGATTTCCAATCCCTATATTTGCAGCCCAATGAAGTTGGTCGACCTTAGATATTTAAAGCTATGAATGCTGTTAAACTAAATAATTCAAGAATGAAATACCATTGGTTTCCAAGATCAGATTGGAAACATTAGAACATTTGAGTTTGTGGCAAAGACTCAATTTCCTGCACTCAATATTGAAATCTTGTATATTTTTCATCACATCATTTCTCCTCTCATTGAAGAGCTATTGAGAAGAACAAAAATGTTTTGAATTTATAGAATGTAAACAATAAATTTGCTTTTCTCGTATTTGTGGGATAAATAAAAACTAGAGGAGCTACGAGGTCACAAAGTCAGACCAGTAATTTTGTATAAATACAGGTACAGGTACAGGTACAGGTACAGGTACAGGTACAGGTACAGGTACTTAATCTATAAATATCTAGAAAGGACCATGCCCTAAGCAGACTGCATTATGCAAGTACTGTGCTACTCATGTTGAGCAAGGAGTGCTTCAAGAGCATGAAAACTACTGCGGATCAAGGACAGAGAAATGTAAGGTAAAAATATAACTTTTACTGTCCAGTGGTTGAACCGAAAAACTGGAAAACTGAAACTGATGGTTTAGTTCCATAATGTAAGCAAAAAATGAAAATTTAAGTAGGTTTATAGATAAACTTTGATATTCTAAAATAATTATGATATGATAGAAATAAAAATATATATTACTAAATTTAAAATAAATTTATCGTAATTTTGTTTAATTTTACCCAGGATTGTGGAGAGTTTATAATGTTGATGAACTATGAACTCCATATAAATAGCAACCATGGCTTTATTAAGCTAGATGATGGTAAGTTAGTCAAAAAATTTGGATTTTGGAAATTTTTAAAAATATTTTTTGATTTTATTTTTTCTGTTTTTTTTAGATAAAACTCCAAAACCCTCTGCAGAGAAATCTCGTGCTGAACCTTACTCTGGGTATAGTTCAAGGCTGTCGAAATACTCAGGTAGATAACATCATGGTCAAGCTTGAACTCTTTTGATCCTTCCTTTTAGATCACACATGATTGATAGGCTTATCTTAAAATCAACAGTTTTGACTGGGTCAGAAGTTCATTAGCTTGTTAAAATGTATTTAAATATTTGATAAAATAAAAATCTTAACAATTTTAATTTACACAGGGAGTGAAAGCCCATTTTGACAATTTCTTTTTTATTTAGTTTTTTAGCATAAAATTTGATCAGTAGCTCGACAAATTTTTCAGATAAATAAGACTTTAGCTTCAATTTTCAGATCCTACTCCCTCAACTCCTACCCAGAGATCTAACTTCTCTGCGACTGAGCTGTTCAACAATCAGGATCTGTATTCCAGCAGACGATATTCCTCTACTGCTTCAACCTCGCTTTACAAATCCACAAGTTCCTCTGTGGTGTCATCAGGGGTCAGCAAATCCTCGAGCTCTTCCCTAGTATCCTCTCTTCATAAATCTAACAGTAACTCAATCGTTAGCAAAGTTTTAAGCGGAGAGCCCAAGGTTGAAACAAAACCTATCTCTAAGCTATCAAGCATCTCGGATGATAGTACTGATGTTGAGAGGCTTCCTTGTGAGTTTTGTGATGCTATGATACCAATGTATAAGCTGTTATCCCACCAGGCAGAATGTGTTAATCCATCCAATGTTCGCGGAGGAAATGATACATCCTCATCCTCCACTTATAGACCATATTCATCTCTTAGAGATAATAATTCTTCTAGAGATAGTGCTATTTCAAGAGATACTGCCTCTAGGTTGGAATCCTCAATCTCCAGATCTTCATCCCTAAATGCAGGAGCAAGCTCAAGTGGGGTTAACAGATACATGCGTCAATCATCTTCATCAGCAATATCTGAAGCACATTCATCTTCTCTATCTAGATATGGATCAAATGGCTCAAATGGTGAGATAGAAACAACTAAAAAGATATTTCCCACCTCCAGCAGCATAGTTGGAAGGTACCTGACAAGCCCTGAACCTTCTACTTACAAATCTAAAAACATTCCAGATTCTCCTCCCGAGCAGGCACCACAAGCTGCAAGCGTCTATATGGGCAGATCATCCTACCTTAAACAGGAAGTAAATCATAAAGAAGTTCAACATAAAAAGACTTCAGTTCAGAAAGCTCCAGGATTATACGAAAATGACAAAGATAGAGAAGGATTAAGACAAATGCTGTCAGGACTCAGGAGAGACCCTATGGATGTCGAAGATGATCCTGATAATAATGATGGGTCCTTCTTTCCCTGTGAATTTTGTGGAGACCCTTACCCTAGTGAATTTATTATGCGGCATCAGGTCAGTAAACTTTTCTCTATTTCTATGCACTACTTTATAAATATATTGCAGCTATAAATTTTGTTTATAGATGTCTTGTGACCTGAACCCTTGCCCGGTATCCTCGGGAAATGGATTTGATTACAATCAGATCCAGAAAAGCATAGCTAGGAATCTAGGGATAGAAGCACCAGCACCTGTTAGAAAAACATCGAATGAAGAACAACAATCATCTCGTCTTTCAAGAAGTAACTCAGTTATGGATAGATCGTATTCAAGATCAGGACGTGCATCAAGTGTGTCAAGGACATCATCCTTTGCAGATAGATCATATGGGACAAGAACAAATTTGGCACGTCATTCTTCATTCTCCATTGCTGATTACAGTTCTGCAGTACGTAGAAGCTCAGTATTTGATGGCTATGCTGGTTATTCTATATACAGTAGCATCAGTGATGGCCTTGACCAAATCACATATGGAGGAAGAACATCCCGTAGAAATTCGATCACAGAAATGTCATACTCTTTTTCAAGACGTGGATCTGTCTCTGCAGGAACAGATTATCCTATGCCAGCTTTAATGGCAGCTCTAGATGCATCAAAGGCATCACAAGATGAGCGTAAAGAAAAGCATTCATCTGCCGCACTTGCAAATGCACATGTAAATGGCCAAGCTACTGCTTATCTAAACAGTCATCAGTATAGTAGTATTTCTAGACAAAATTCAACTAATGATTCTCCAAAAGCTATTGATTCTCCGTTTGGGATTGTCAATGGACATCATTTAGATTTGCAAAGAAGTGATAGTGGTTCAGTAAGGAGGAAGTCATCTGTTAGACACTCAGTATCAGGACATAAACTAGAACGAAAGGTGTCATTTCATAGTCATGATCAGATAATAGCCAATGAAGGTCTTGATGAAAACGGAGATCCCACCGGAAAACCTGACAAGCCCAAACGAAAAAAAGAAAGAACTGAGGAGGAGAAGGCAGCTAGACGTGAAAAGAAAGAAAGGAAAGAAAGGAAGAGACAGGAACGGGGAGCATCCAAGGATAGACGTTGTAAAGATGAAGTAAAAAATAAGGTACACTTGTCTGGGGATGATTTGATGGTTCAGGTGAGCGCCAAATTACAGGATATAGAGCGACAACAGAATGATCTGGAGCCGGAGCTCTCCCCCTTGCCTTCTTCCTCCCTTATACCTCATATAGTGAATCAGGCAAGTAAACCTGTTAACAACAATGCTTCTAGTATTTCAAATAAACTAAATGAAGGGATAGATAACACACTAACTGAACCTCAAACAACTGTGACGGATGAGGACCTAATAAATCTGCATGATTCTGAGAATTCAGTGAGTCATGAGATCAGTACAGTGACTCGGCGTGAGTCTGATGCACGTGGTTCCAAGCTGGGATCCAAGCGGAACTCGTTGGATAATAAAAGTGTACAGTCCCTCGCTAAAGACCTTGCGGCAGAATGCGCAAAGGCTTACGAACTCATGGAGAGTTCTCTCTCCAAGCTTACTAATGATTTTTCTATCGGACCGTTTGGATTAACGCCAAAAAACAAGGTAGGTTAGTAGGCTTGGTGTATACAAGTACTATTACTGTGAGAAATTTAAAACACACACAAGCAAAAAACATACAAACATACATTTTCAAAAGTAGTTTTTTCCCGTAATTAATTTTTGTGATGATTTTGTTAGATTTAGAATATTGTATTTTTTCTTATAATTTTATATTTTTGGAATGTATATTTATCTAAAGTTTTAACAAAGCAATCTACGATTTTAAGCTTTCACACAAGGTTACCCACAAATATATTATGAATTATAAGAAACTTCATAATCTATGGCTGGCTTCAGTTGTACTTTGTTTCGGGTCGTCATTGCATATTCTTATTCTTTGTGAGTAACTTTGAAAGGATGTGTGTAAGTTAAGAAACAACATTTTTCAATATAGATTATTTTATACAAATAATTTAAGCTATAAGAAATCAATGTTTATTGTCATTTGAAAAATTGGTTTCTCCGTAAACAATAAACATTTTTTAATAATTCTAAATGTTTTAAAATTTGACGAAATAAAGAAATTTATTATTTTTATTTATACCTTTCACATATGACCACGAATTATAAAAAATTAGAAAATAATGAAATTTCTTAAAATGTCTCTTTTTTTCCCCAAAACATTTTTCCAAAATTTTGTTTATTACTGTCTGTAATGAAGTTGTATCATGTATGTAGTATATACATATTTTTCAAACTTAAATAAAGATTTCACATATAATGGATTTCTTTTATAATTTTGGGTTGTACAGCAAAATTACGATTGAATCAAAAATTGGATTTTTTTAGATTTTTCCTTAAATTAAAAAGGTATACATACTTTTGTTTTATGTAACTTATAAGTTACCGAACCTATACATTGGGAGGAATACTTTTTAAAGAAAAGCTAAAAAACAACATTTTTCATTAAACTTATGCATAAACATTTTGAATGGTCTTTGAAAACTGGATATCATTATTTATTTTCATGTAATATTTTGGGTCCAAGATGGAACTAATTTCAAACTAACAAAAATAACTCATTTTCCAACAAACATAGGTCATTTGTTCAATTTCAATATATTTTTAAGTTTAAAAACGTTTTTTAAATATATTGAGAATAAAAAAGCTAAAGAAAAAATTGCGTTTTATTCAATTTAGAACAAAACATTTGTAAAAATTTATTTACACACATTTGATATATTTGAGACAATTTTTATAATTTCACACACTTCTAAAAGATAATTTTTTTATACAATCAATCTATGTGTTTAGTGGTGTGTTGTTTTATTTTTTATTGTGATGAAAGGGAGTGAAGACATATTTTAAGCGACCCTCCAATTAAAAAAAGAGTGGTTTGTCCGATTGACAAAAGTACTGTTTCTAAACCTCTATCTGATTTACAATTAAGGACAATTATTCTACATACCTTGTCAAAATGTTAAACTCTCACAATTTCCTTTCATAAATTCAAGTCACTTCAACAGAGAAACCACAATTAAAGATGATAAATTTTCATGAAAAATAAGGAAACCTTATTAATCCTTGATCAGATGAAGGTTTTCAAGGTTCCGTTTTGAATCAAACATTCGTCAAAAATCACATTTGTTTTTAGAAGTACTTATTTTATTATTTTCAGAAGAAGTACAGGGCTCCCGCCCCGCCTCCTCCACTAAAATAGGGCTCCGGTCCCACCTCCTCCACTAAAATAGAGCTCAAGTCCCTCCTCCTCCACTAAAATAGAGCTCCGGTCCCACCTCCTCCACTAAAATAGAGCTCAAGTCCCTCCTCCTCCACTAAAATAGAGCTCAAGTCCCACCTCCTCCACTAAAATAGTGCTCAAGTCCCTCCTCCTCCACTAAAATAGAGCTCAAGTCCCACCTCCTCCACTAAAATAGAGCTCAAGTACCACCTTCTCCACTAAAATAGAGCTCAAGTCCCACCTCCTCCACTAAAATAGAGCTCAAGTCCCTCCTCTTCCACTAAAATAGAGCTCAAGTTCCACCTCCTCCACTAAATAAGAGCTTCTGTCCCACATCTTCCACTGAAATAGAGCTTCCGCCCTACTATATCCACTAGACTATAACGGAAGATTTAAAGCAGGAAAGGGGAATGTCCACTGTATTACCAATTTTTCACATTATTCGGTCAACACGTTTCTNCCCCCCCTCCTTCTAAAAACTCTGTAAGGAGAAATGAATTGTATTTACTGTGGACTAGAGTTTATTTATCTTATATCTAAATCCTGGAAAATCTAGGCTTATAGGACTTCAATTCTCAACATCTTTATATATAAGCTACTGCAATGCCCAGTTTTTCTTTTTTTATGATAAAAATCCATACTTGTTTCAAAATAAAATGATTTTTTTTAAGTTTTGAACAATTTCTCAAGTATTGTTGATAACTAAACAGAATAAGAGTTCCCCATTTTGTAAATATCATTTCTCAAGATTTTGACAATAATTATTATCTACACTGTACAATTTTATTTTTGTAGAATAACATGTATTTTCATGTACAATGTATATGTTATAAGTTATTAAAGTACATAGATTTGTAAAAACATATATATATATAATATATGTATGAAAAATATAGTCAGTTTTTAGAAAACATTAGTTTTTAAATTACAAAGATTTTTGTGAATGTTTAAAAGTTTCGCATAAAGTATTAACTTAATGTTAAAAGGGATTTTTATAAAATCATAAATTGCTTCTTTGTGGATTCCATTGCCATTTCTCTGTTTTCGATATCATTACAAACAGTTAAACAATGCAAAAAATCGAGTCGATAATTTGTATTTGTAATATTAAATTAACGCATTTTAGACGAAATTCGATAAATCAAAAACCAAATAAAATATCTTCTAAAATATCTTTAAACGTTTCTGGGTTCGCAGACTGGGGAAAACGAAGGTGACATTTTGTTACGTTACTGTGTGACTTGATGGAAATAGATATGTAAATATGTAAATATTATGGTGGAGAATAAAATAGATTAATTTTGTAAATTTATTTAGGATTAGTTTGAAACATGTATAGTTGGCCTCTATAGATAATCGAGTAAGTTTAGTTGAAAAACAGTGGTATAGTCGATAATATCAATAAAATGAAGACGACTTTTTATTTACGTTTTTATTGTTAACAAGCTTTTCCCGAATTACAAGTTTACAAGTATTTTAAGAAAAGCTTTTTTAATCGGTAGCTTCTCTTGGTTTCCATTTTTTAGTGCATTCATGCTGTTTGCAAGCTTGATAGAAATCAAAATTAAAATCGAAAGTTGTCTTCATTGTACATAATACAGGGTCGGGACCAGTCATTAATCTGTGAGATATAAAGACGACAATTAGGCAATTTATCTCGGTTTTCACGTTGTTATAAATCAAATATTTTACAGTGTGCAGCAGCTGACTTTGAAAATCAACTTATTAAGTGAATTTCTTTATTACACTTACATCTCAATGTCGTCTTCCTCTGCTAACTTTGAAACAGAAGTTAGATGTCTTACAGAACCAGAAAACTGTGAAATAGGATTACGACATTTAAACATAAATCAAAGGGAGTGTTCGCGATAAATGAAAGGGGGAATAGGCTTACCTAGAATTGAATTCGATGGCGATCGTTACTAATCGTACTTCTATCTGTTGCTCCTATAAGAAGAAGATAGTTAAACACGACTCATACCGCAGAACGTTGCGTCCGTTTTCTCCTAACAGACGCAAAAGATAGAACTCAGATTAGTAGCGATCACCGTCGAATTTATTTCTAGGTGCAGCAAGAAGTAAGATTAGTAGCAATCGCCATCAAATTCGATTCGACGTTAGCCTATATCCCCTTTCATTTTTCGCAAACACTCCCTTTAACAAGCATTTGTTCGTAATTTGACATCAATCAAAGAGTTGAGTTGAGCGACAATTTTTGCGAAGAAAAGGATTTGAAAGTTTTGTTTTCGTTCCCATATTTATTGTCTGATCGAAACTTTTGCGAAAGAGATTTATCCAGGGGGGCTGGATCTTAGCTATCTCTCCGTGTATATTGGCCTGAGTGTACGATAGTTTACTGATAAAGGATGTTAAGAGAGTATGGCCTATTCATACAGTACAAACATCAAATGTGCAGTACGTTTCGGAGTACAAGTGTATGGGGAGGTTTTGTATCTTGAATTTTACTCAGTTTTCTCAGACAGTTTATTAACGATGAAATATTGCTCGGTTAAAGACTGCAATAGTTTGTCTTTCTGTGAAAATGGAATCCTGCACACGATAAAGGAGTAGTGGATTTTAAAAGTTACATTGAAAACTAAAATCTCCATTTAAATATTTTCAGAAATTACCCCCAAGTACTGTAGTATACAGATTGACCATTGGAAGTGAAGTACATGGCTTGTACAATTAGTAAAGGATTAGCGTACATCATCACTCTATATACTATAACCTCGTTGGATTTAACGAAAATTTAGAAACCCTACTCTCATCTAGTATATCCCTTTATCTATGGAAGTAGGGGTTTCAATTCTCCGATTTGTCCCATTGTTACATTTAATAGAAATTCAGAGCACAACATTTGAGGTTTTGAGAAGAGAAGGCGGGGGGTGGGTGGGGGGGATAGGGGGGTGGCGAAGAGGTGTAGAACTAAGGAGAGGTTAATATGAGGTTGTTTTATTGTAAAAACCAGTGCTGAAAACTTCAATTGCGGATATCAAGTTTAATGCTTGATCTCCTCATTTTGTTAATCTTAAGATTATCTTAATCTTAAGTTTGTATGTTTGTATTACGAATATACTTAAATTCACACAATCAGAGTGGTGTATGCAGAATCCCAAACAGTCAATCAAAAGCCGGGAAATTTGAGGTGTTGGCGCCATTAAACAAGAGAACTCTCATTGGTCAGAATCCAGTAAGGATATCCAAAAAGAGCGTATTAAGCAGAAATCATAAATGTCCAAAGTGGAAATTCAGATAAAAGTATTAAGGGTATCTAATTTCGATTTGTTCATTTATGAAAACTTAAAAATGGTAGGAAAACATGGCCTGGGCGATCACTGTAAAGTGTAAACCCAATCTTGTTTGTTTACAATAAAACTAGTTCCTGGGCTGTCAAAATATGTCACAACAGAGTGTAAACAGTCCATAGTACCCTCCTTATTTACATTCCTCCTTGGATAGAGGGAATTGAGAGGGGAGGGGAATCATACAAATAAGATTTAGAATGGGTAATCTGCTTATTAATAACTAGATTACACGTTCTAATTAGATTCAGCATGACAATGCGACTGTGATTCAAAATATTAAGTCTCAAATCATAAAAAATGTTAAATAAAACCAAAAATCATTTAAAAGGACTGTAATCGTATTTTTTAAAGAATTGAATGATCGATTCACAACGGTACCCTTAAAAGCTTTATCTAATCAATCATGTGCAAGTCAGCGGTGTGTTTAAGGCTTAAAAAGTGTGTTTATTGCAGAGAAATTGAAAATAAACAGTTTTCAGAAACGAAGACATGGATATTTAATTCATACTTAATATATCAAATACATATTTTATGAAAACCGTGAATCGGACATGCCACTCTAACAATAGAGGGTTACTTAAAGTTACCTTTACAGTTCTTTAATCTAAGAAAAGTCCATGCTTTGACATCCACGCTTGGTCTGTGAACGGTTTGGAAATACGTGTTCCTTTGTCATGTAGTAATAGCCAGTCTTTGAAATCTTTTTTAAAATAATTAAATGAATTTTTATTTTGTTAAAATTATCTTCGAACATTGTTGTGCACATACTTTGCAAAAAACATATTTTTATGGGCGGTAAAACGACTGGTCGGTGTCTAAAATTTTTTTTTTTAAAAGTCCATATTTTTTTTTTATTAATAAAACTACAGGTTTAAAATTTATCTATTTGAAAAGCCCTTGAAAAAGTCAAAGTAAAAATATTAAAAGATATTAAGTTAAAGATCTAATTTTTTAATGAGCTGGCATTGACAAGTTAGATACTCCCCTTTCTCAACTCTAAAAGCAAAATCATGGGGCGTGGGGGTTGAAAACACTGGTTCCCCCACCATCCATTTTAGACATGGAAGATATAAAACTAGCAGACCACATTTAAGAAATTCCTAGATAATGAGTCTTAACTACTAACTTTTTAAATTCTTATGCCTTTTACAGAGATATTTTAGTATTTATATTTCAAGTTGATATTTCTAGGTCTATCTAATTTTCTGTAAATTTAATTTAAATTTTCTAGATTTTCCAATATTTGAAAGACGGGTATCTAACTATCTATCTATCTATCTATTTACTCAAGTTCCACTGCTTCAAACTGTATATTTGGAGACAAGGAGAGCTATCCAGTGGGAGCAATATCACGTTAATTACAGGATTGAAATTTTTTATATTTTCAATCAAAATTTCTCTTGTTAAAGAGCTATTGACAAAAAATTTGTTGAATTCTTAATATGTAATACATTTGTTTTCCCATACTAAAAATAAAACTAGAGGTGCTACAATATCACAAAGTTATATTATTAAATTTCACCTTCTTCCTGAGGGAAAATTTAAAGAATTTGAGCCGCGGTTTAAATTAGAGAAGCGGCTCAAAATTGGTTGTTTTCACTTAAAATTGGATTCAATATTTTAAGATTTAAGCCGGCGCTCAATTAAAACCGGTTTTTGGTGGATTTGAGACGCGGCTCAAATTCATTAAATTCGGACTCAGGTTATATGTTTGCTGTGATATAATTGTGGAATAAGACAACGACATCAAATCAAAACTTGAGTTTCACAGTCGTCTTTCTATTCCACAGTTGTATGGGTCTCTATGTAGTTTTCATAAACATCAACATTTTTAGAATTTGGTGGATTTAATTTACGCAGATAGAAAGGATAATTTCATTTCCGTTTTTACAAATAAATATTTTTATTTAATTTATGTTTGTCGGGATAAAAAGTTCCGAGGCACAAATGTAACACATTGTTTCCATAAGCACAACTTTCCTTCAAGGATTATGAAATATTATGAAATCTTTATATCGCCTTCCGCCGTATATGTTTTGCTTGGGTGTCTGTTTGTTTGTTTGTTTGTATCCAATA